TATCTATCTATCTATCTATCTATCTATCTATCTATCTATCTATCTATCTATCTATCTATCTATCTATCTATCTATCTATCTATCTATCTATACACATAGTTAATATAAGTTTATATAAGTTTCTCTTACCGTGTGCATCTCTGTAATAAGCATGTGTTACACTCCTGAACCGTTCCTGTCCCGCCGTGTCCCAAATCTGAAACAGAAAACAAAATGACCTAGTTCTACACACTATTATTTGCATTTATAATGACTCATCTGAAAGCATATTAAGTGTTCGCAATAAATAATTCCATGCACTGACCTGTAGTTTGACCTTTACGTCGTCGACAGTCACCACTTTATTCTGAGAAGGACAAATGAAAGAAAAACTGATCACGGAATTAGGTCAAAGAAATAACAAATAAAAAATAGAAACATAAATGGTTTGCAAAATCTAGAGTTTCAAAGGTTTCATATAGATATAATTTATTTTTATTTTGTCAACCTTTATACTAATATTTCTCCAATACAACGTAAGTCATTTTGGTGCCTAAGTCAAACCCAGTATAACAATAATTTGATAGAATGGAAAGTAATTTCAATTGAAAAATATGCAATATGCTTGATGACACTTAATTGGATAGAGCTGAAACTAAACTAAGGCAATAAACTCATCAGATGTGATGGAAAAGAAAAATAATTTTGATTGAGCATCCAGCAAATGACAACAAAAGAGTTGCTGTTTAAAAATATGGAAGAACAAAATTATTTTCGTCCCAAAAAACTAAAACTTCAAATGTTTTGTTTCATGCGATAGTGGCAGATAGTGTCAATGGGTAGCTGAATGCACGTGTCCACTTTTGTCTTTTTGATCCATAATACAGAGAATATGCATAAATTGATCAATCTTACCACATGGCTGAGAGAAATTGTTAAGAAATGTTGTATCACATTATATAAAACATGTGCATGGAATTATATAGTGAGGTAGATTGCTTTAAGAAGTGAGACTCTTTGAAAGTTTAAAAAAAGTTCAAACTGCTCTGCATTTATACACAGTTTTTACATATAGTTATCATTCAAATTGTATAGGTAATAGTGTTTTTACATGTTTACTGCTTCCTTAAGATTCCCTTCAAATAATCCACTCATGAAAGTCAAACACTTAATTTTTCTCATGGTAACTACCGTGAATATCAAAAGGAACATAAGGCCCTATTATCCTTCAGAATTATTGTGTCATAGTATTAGCAAACCAAAAATGCAAGTCAAAACAAGGCACAACTCTGACCAGATTTGTTTCAAATTTTTAGTATAACCTAATCCAGTATTACCTTTAAAATACATTGATTTTGTGTTTTCAAAGGATTGCAAGAGTTTTTTTCTGCCTCCCATCTATACATCCACTTTCTTGTGCTGGGGACAGAAAGCATCCCAGTGCAAAAAGGGCGGAACATTTTAGAAAAATCATTATTTTGCTACTATATGTCTTGTGTTACATGACCTGTTGACCAAACCAACAGGAAGCCTTCTTCCTGTCTAAACAGTTTGGTGGACAGACACTGGACACTATCAAAAGTGACTGGCGTCTCAAAACCTGGACAAGCATGACTGGTTTAGCATGTGACTTATCCTACTTGCTTTTCCAGAAGAATGTCATAAGGCACATTTACACACCAAAACACCTCACCGTGAATCCAATACCAACTGTAGCAGAGAAGGAGCCAGGGATAAACTTTCCCTGGTCAAACTGCACCAGCAGGGATGTCTTCCCAACACCACTGTCCCCAACCAGGATTGTCTGCAAAAAGAAAAGAATAACACAAATGAAACCAAAAACAAGCATGCTTAGGATTCTTATTAGGGCAGTCTTTGCCTCTACGTTCAGCTACATGGTACAGATGATGTACCTGTGGCATGATTTCTCTTTTGTGGGTTCTGAATCAGCCCTATAAAGTGTTTTTGGATGAACCACTGCAATCAACACGTACTTTTCACAAGTGAGTCAGCATCTGCGTCACATTGGACAGTTTCCTTCCAAGCGCCACAAATAATACGATCTTTTATAAGAGTTTGGCGGTGCATCATATTACAGTATGACTCATAAACCGGAGGAGATAACCTTCAAGAAAATGAAATCATCGAAAGGCGGCTTTCAAAAGCATCCAAGTTACTCACTGGGGGCATCAGTCAATACTTTTTCTTGTTTCAAGCCGTCTTTTATTTACAGAGTTACACTGACGTCCTCTACCACCTCCACACAAACATCGCTCTCTAACAGTAGGAGAGACAGAAATGACCATTTTTCCTTGTTATAGATAGATAGATAGATAGATAGATAGATAGATAGATAGATAGATA